GTTTAATGAGAAATTATTTTGTTCTGTAAACCTTCATCTAAAGTAAGAATAGCAGCACAATTGTAAGAGTGTAGTCGATGTCACTGAACTGTGCATGCAGAAATTTTTGAAATGGTGTATCTTTGGATACGTATATTTTCACCAAAAAAAAAAATAAGGTCAAGAAGGGAGAGGGTTGACATGTCGTGGGGTTGTTAACAAATGCCATAAAACAGTATGAGTATTAGTGTTTCATGAGAATCAATTTGTTCTGTAAACCTTCACCTGAAGTAGAATAAAAAAATTAAAAATAAATAAATAAAAAAATAAACTAATTAATAAAGATATCCGAAGACGATATCTAGTAATTCCATCTGTTAACATGCATATAGATGAAATGAAGCTCTCAAACAATTTTAGGAGTGTAAAATGGTGCAAACGTATTGAAAATATTATGCCAAGATTTTATTTTAAAGTTAAACATTCACTTCACCTATGATCCAGCAATTTCATTTGAATTCCACAAAATTGAAAATGTATGTAAACATGTTTCTGCAGAAGATTTTTTGAAGTAGTTTTTTTCTGTTTTTTCAGAATAGACAAATTCTGGAGACAATTCAAATGTCCATAAACAGGTGAATTGATCATTATGTACTCACTTGTGAAGTGAATCATTGATAGAAGAAAAACTAAGCTACGATGTTGGAAATCAGGCGTCTGAAAGTGAGTACTCATGGGATGAAGGAAATATTGTCTTGCTTGGTGTGGTGTGTTCATATATGCAAATCCTTGTCAAAATCATTGAACTGTACATGCAAAACTTGGGCAGTTGAATGCAAATGAATTATGCTTCACTTATAAAATAACACAAAAAGAACAGATGAAATCACCACCTTGACATACACATCCGGATGTTAACTAACAATTGAATGGATAAACAAATTGTGGTATATCCATGCAATTACCACTCATTAATGAAAATAATAAACTCTCTGAAAAATGCTACAGCATGGATGAATTTCAAAATAATTATGTTAAATGAAAGAAATAAGAAAAAAAGTGTGATTCCATTAATAAAAAAAATTCTAGAAAATGACAACTAATCAATGGTGATAGAAAGTAGAACAGTGGTTGTCTATAACTGAGGACTGGTGAAGGGTGGGAGAAGGGGCTTGAAAGGTGATTAATGAAACTTTAGTGGGTTATAGTTGTATTCATTATTTATAATTGATTATAATTTCACAGGGATATACATACATCAAAAGTTGAGAGATTATATGATTTAAATATGTACAGTTTATTTTATGTCAAGTATACCTCAAGAAATAGTTTTAAAAGGGAGAAAAAGTAAACTTCCTTATTCAGACGGACTTGTGTTCAAAAAAACCAACAGAATATGTACCCAGTGATGAAATGATTAAAGCTGTTATTCTGACATAGGTCAATAAGACTATGATGTCCAATATCACTTTTTCTCCTCAATTTTGAAGTGGGCAGACTTCAAAATAAATACATAAATAAAATAGATATAAACTGTAACAGAAGGAATAAAACTGACACATCATACACGATTAAATTTTGTGTGTAGAAAGTCAAAAGGAAATTTAAGGCAAATTACTAGAATTAATAAGTGTGTTTAGAAAGATTGCTGGACACAAGGTCAATGTCCACATAGCATTAGCGAAGGATAAATTAGAAACATTAGAAAAGGAAATATAAAAGATAACTGGAGCCAAATCAAACAAACATTTGATTTCAAATTTCAAGACTTCTACACAAAACCATGCTGAGAGAAGACAAATGGAGGATAAAATCAGGTTAGGATATTACCTTATTAAGATGTCAATTTTCAACAATTAATCTATTGATTTATCATAACTTAAACAGAGTCACAGCATGTGTTTTGAGAATATTTATATAGAAATGTAAAGCGCTAAGCGCAAAAGAAGTGAATAAATCCTGAAGGAGAACACTACTGCGCTGAATAGACAGAAGGAAGAGAAAGCTTCAGAGATTTCGCCCATGGGATATTGATGCAAGAAAAAAGAATAGAAAAGTGAAACACAGTAGTGACCAAGAACGTATCCACATACAAATGTACATCAATATCCTTGATTTATGACAAAGGTGGCCACAAAGAGGAATAGATAACTGATCATTTTTACCATAAATTATGCTCACTCAATTAGATAATGGTGTTGAAAAGTATAAACTTTTATCAGCAACACAAAAAATGAATTTCAATAGATTATATATCTGGACCAATATATCATAACTGGGCCAATAAGTAACCTCATGATAAATGGAGAAAATATTGAAGTTGTCAAGGATTTCATTTTACTTGGAGCCTTAATCAATGCCCATGGAAGCAGCACTCAAGAGAAAGATGACACATTACGTAGGGTAAATCTGCTGCAAAACATCTCTTTAAAGTGCTAACAAGCAAACAATTCACTTTGAGGACTAAGGCGCACTTAACCCAAGTCATAGTGTTTTCAGTAGCCTCATATGTATGTGAAAGCTGGAAAATGAACAAGGAAGAGAGAAGTAGAAATGATGCATTTAAATTCTGGTGTTGGCGAAGAATATTGACTATACCATGGACTGCTAGAAGAATGAACAAGTCTGTCTTGGAAGAAGTACAGCCAGAATGCTCATGAGTAGCAAGGATGAACAGACTTTGTTTCCCATATTTTGGACATGTTAGCAGGAGAGACCAGTCTCTGGAGAAGTACATCATGCTTGGTAAAATAGAGGGTCAGTGAAAAAGAGGAAGATCGTCAAAGAGATGGACTGACCCAGTGTCTGCAACAACGGACTCAAGTATGACAACAAATGTGTGGATGGCACAGGACCAGGCAGTGTCTCATTCTGTTGTACATGGGGTTGCTATGAGTTGGAACCAACTCGACGACACCTAACAATGCATCTCAATGTAATAGGTAAACATTTTCAGAAAAAAATTTTTTAAAAAGATAAAATATAAAATTGACAGATTAATTTAGTAGATTATCTACACTGAAATTTGATTAACTACTAAAATAGCTCCAAAATAAGCACTAATAATATAAATGAGAAATTAGACTATGCTAATATTAATCAATTCTATTCATTAAAAGACTCCAACATGGGAGTAAATATGAAACCACAGAAAAGTAAAACCCTTATAAAGTTATCAAATCAAAAAGAGATCATATCCAAAATATGTCAAGAATTTATTGGTGGGAAAAGACTGACAATCACAGAGGAAAAATGGACAAGAGGCATGAATAGGCACTTAATAAAAGAAGATGTTCTAGTGGCTAATAGCAGATGAAAATGTGTTCAATCTAACAAGAATTAGGAAAATGTCTATTAATATAATAATGATACTATCACAGAACAATCAAAACTTCTACTTTTAAAATTTCTCATACTACTAAGTTTTGATGAGGACGTGGATCAAAAGACAGGTTCAAACACTGTTATATAATATGTGTATGCGTGCTATGAACTAGTAAACTGTTGGGATAATTTAAAAATATTGACATGTACTTACACCTATAACCCTACATGATCCTACAATTTCATTCCTGTGCATCTAGGTAATATATGGACAAAAGACATCCAGAAAGATATTTAGAGAATGAAATTACACATAATAGCTAAATAGTAGCTAAGTATTACCATAATAGTTAAATTTCTATTCACCACAGGATGGATTTTAAAATGTTTATTCACGTAACAATAAGTTCCTGGCTGTACAAATGGTTAAGCACTTGCCCACTAATGGTAAATCTGAAGGTTCAAGACCACCGAGACTTGCCTGGAAAGACAGGCCTGGCAACCTACTTCTGAAAGTTACAGCCACTGAAAACTCCTGGAATGCAGCTCTGCTCTGAAACACATGGGCCTCTGTGAGTCGGAATCATTTCCATGGCAATTGGTTAGGTTTTTTCATTATTTTTGGTGGGTTTACTCACACAACACAGCATTGAAAATGAACAAACTACAACTAACCACAACAATATAGTTCACTTGCACAGATACCATATGTGAGTAAAAGGAGACACTCAAAAGTGCATGCTATAGGATTCCATTTAAACAAAGTTCAAAACCGAGTAAAGCTAATCTGTAATAAAAGTCAGGAGAGTGGTTTGGGAAGAAGAAGAAGTGATAAGAGCATACACGGGGCAGAGCTAATGCGGGAATGGTGGCTACCACCTTCTATTTCTTGACCTGGTTTGTAATTACATGGGTCTATTCATCTTGTGATTAATCTTCACAATTTTGATTTATTTGTTTATGGTCAAATGAAACAACAAAGTTTATTTTAGGAAAAAAATTTATGGAAGTGTTGTTTTCATAAATAGCAAGAATGAAATAAAACCAATGTATTTTAATGGTATAAAATATAAACAAAGCATTGTCAAGTCAAACAATGGAGTACTATGTAGCCTTGAAAAAAAAAAAAAAAAAGCACAACTCTGGAAAAAGCAGTCTTAGAAGAATCACAATCAGAATGCTCCTTGGAAGCAAGGATGGCGAGACTTTGATTTGCTTACTTCAGACACTTCATCAGGAAAGACCAATCACTAGAAAAGGACATCTCGTTTGGTAAAGCAGAGGGCCAGTGAAAATGAGAGAAACGTTCAGTGAGATGAATGGACAACGATGGACTCAGAGACACCAATGACCATTAAGATGGCACAGGACCAGACAACGTTTTTATTGTTCATAAGGTCTCCATAAGTCAGAATCAATTCAAGGGCAACTAACAACAATATGAACACAAATATGAGTGAATCCTAAAAACACAATATCAACTGAAATTTGTAAGACACTAAACACTTCACGTAGTATAATTCTTTTTACGTAACCTGCAAAAGTAGGCAAATCTTTATTGTTTAAGATGCATAGGAATCATATGGCATATCAGTAATGTTTCTTGACAGTTGCTATTCACTCAAATATATTTTGTATCCATTTCTTTTAGCATGTAATAGCTTTCAATAAAATATTACAAATATTTGAAATCTTACCATTTCTTCTTCATTATCCATATAAAACAGATCAGATTTCTTAGAAACACAGGCCATCTGACTCTCAGTCCAGTTTTTTATATCACTGCTAATATAATAGCAATGGTTGGAATAGGAGAACCAGTCCTTTGGACAACGGTGACAATGATTAGCTGAATAAAGAATATGAGTCACTATCCAGAACTAATTTGAATTAAAAAATATAAATTAGTGACATATTTGCATAGGCATAACTATGCATCTATATAAGCTATATATGCAATCTCATGCACTTACACATACATATAAAAAAACACAGACACACAGAAAAGGTCAGCCTCCCAGCCCCTGATTTATGTACAATTAAAAAGCAAACAAACAAAAGCTCTATCCTATACATGTCCTGAAAATCACTGAACAACACCACTTTATTAGAATAACAAAATTCTTTCTTATCTTTTCATGCTGTTGTTGTTGTTGTTAGGTGCTGTTGAGTAAATTTGCAACTCATAACAACCCAATATGACACAGTAGAACTTCCTCATAGAATTTGTAGGCAGATCCCTGGTTGCACAGTAGTTAAGAGCTTGGCTGCTAAGCAAATGGTCAGCAGTTCAAACCCACCAGTCACTCCTTGGAAACCCTACGGGGCAGTTCTACTCTGTCTTATAGGGTCACTGTGAGTTGGAATCCACTCAACAAGAACGAGTTTTGTTAGTATGGTTTTGTTTAATCTTTACAGGAGCAGTAGGAACTTTGAGGCAGTTGTCAAAAGAAGGCTATAGTGATTGTATAAGAATATTTCCTCTAACTGTTGAATAAGAAGGAGTTGCTCCTATGATCTTTATTTATGAAAATTTACTGCTATATTTTTGAAGGTTTTAAAAAATCTGTTCTTATTTCTTCATAACATAAAATAGAGTCAAAATACAATCTTGATATATCAGCCCTGGTGGCTCAGTGCTTAAGAGTTTGGCTGCTAACCAAAAGGTTGGCAGTTGAAATCTACCAGTTGCTCCTTGGAAACCCTTTGGGGGCAGGTCTAAACTGTCCTTTAGTGTCTCTAGGAGTCAGAATTGACTCGCTGGCAATGGGTTTAGTTTGGTTTATATCAGAACTTTTAAAATTATGACATACCTTTCTGAGTTCTGTTCTCATCCATCATTCCAATAGCTAGAAAGATTGTAGTAGTTATTATGGAGATTAATATTTCTGTAGTAAATCATAATAATTTTAGTTTCCTAGTTTCAAATTTAGTATAACATTTATAACTGTAATAATGTATATTAAAAATGATTTAACCAACAAAAAATCCATAATGAAGGTTTTTGCAAAAACATATGAACAGTCTAATGGAGAAATTTTATCACCTCTTACAGTATTTGCATTAATTACATTCAAATATCAAATTTTATTTGCAATAAGTGTTCTCAGTCTTTCATTACAAGCCGTTGAGATGTGACACGTACATGTATACATAAACACACATACAATACAGACATTTAGAATTATAACCATGTACTCTCTATGATCATTCTCTGTATTTACACTTTTGAATAACTGAGTAACTTTTCCACATTTAATGCACATTGAGGAGGCATTGTTTATTTACTAAGACTAAAAAAACCTGGCAAACATATCACACAAATGCATACATTAAAATGAGAATTCTATTCCATAAAATGTGAAATATACAGAGGCACTTTCAAACATTTGAAAAGAATATTCCCTCATAATCTTACAAAAACTTACAAGGAGTGATAACTGTGACTGTCATGGTTATTACACCGGCCATCAAGATGAGGCAGATGAGTCCCAGGGTCCCAGCAATGAGCTTCCCTGGAGGTGATGGGTGATGTGCAGAGAGAGAAATGGAAACACTGAGAAAGGATGGATGGAGCCAGTGTTCAGAGTGTTTACATACAGGAGAACCCAGATGCACAGGGAATCATGTACAGAAATACTGGACATTGAACCCACAGTCCACATTGTAATTTTTCTCTCAGAATATACTATTGCATTTTCAGTAAAATAATAGCCCACGAGTTATTCATCAAAGGCCACAAATTTCAACAATGCCT